AGCTCAATTATCGCTCAGAAAAATCACATATCTGCATTTCCCAGATAACTCATATTTCACAAAAAATAATTGGGTATAATGGCAAAATTTGAACTGGCATTTAAGAATCATTTGTATTAATTTACAGCATAGCTCTTTGTTTCTGTTATTATTATTATATTATATATATTATTATTATATGTGGATATTTCTTGTATACATTACTTGTCCAAACTATTCAGAAATTAAAAATATATTCAAAAATTAACAAAGTAAAAAAAATCAATTTAGTATGGTCAATTACAGAAATAGTTCTCATTAAGGGTACGAGAAATTGTCCGCGAACTAGAGATTTCTGTGAAATCTATCAGACATATTTCAAAAAACAAATACAAAAGGAGACTATGATTTACGAAGTGGTTAAGACGTAGAAATAGGGAGGTTGGAAATATTTGTGAAAAAATTATACGAACCAATCAAAATCACAAACAATGGTTGATTCAACAGTAATATTCCTCATAGGTGCAATAGTACAAATAATACTTGGGAAACCTATTTCCAGGAAAGATTCGGAATAAATGTTTGGTGGAGAATTTTGGGATAAACATACTAGGTCCTTCCTTTTACGAGGAGCATTTGAATAGTGAAATTTATCTACTCAGAGGAATTATGACTGAGCATCCGAAGTGAAATACTGTCAGGTTTAAATTAGGAGGTGCATATTTTTAAAGCAGGTTCATTTTTGGGATAGAAAGTTTTTCGCCTTTATCTTGTAATGTTATCCAGATTGGTGCAGAAGAGGCAATAAGACAAGTGTTCCGTTTGGAAATATCGATGTCCGCCATTGATGATGTAAGTGAAATGTTACCTCTTCTTTATACTAAATTGTGTAGAAATCCTGTGAATGATTTCTGAATTAATTCCATAACGAATGTTTGGAGTATGAACTGAATAGGGGAAAGTGTTTTTTGTATAATCCAATGTTCATATAAAAGTAGTTGTTTTTTAAGTATTTTTCTTTCGTATAATTCATTGTTCATAAGGAAGAAGTTGTTTCGAAAGGGCTTTTTCTTCCAGTTTGTGTCTGAAAGTTACTTTTTTGCATGATATGCACATTTTTTTGGAGAGTTCATTTTGAAATCGATTGCTTTCTTTATTTCTTTGGAAAAAATTCCACTTTTTGTGTGAATATGGAAAAGTAGAAAGCCAAAACCTTTCTTTCTAATAATCAATCTCTCAGAAGAAAAGTTACGCAGAAATGAAAATCGTGAATTACCACTAGGGATTCGAAAAAACAGGAAAAAGAAAAAAGAAGAAATCAGATGTACCTTCATATATTGGAAAATTTAAAATCTTCCCAAATGAGTACAGTACAGGAATTTATTCAGGAAGAATTTGGAAAAGTGTTTCAGGAAACAAAGGAGAGATTAGAAAAAGCAGTGGATGAGAAGCTCGAGGGGGTTGAACAGAAATTTGAAAGGAGCTTGAGAAAAAGCTTGAAGGAGTTGACATGAAGTTTTAAGAGGTTTTCCGGAACCAGAATCACCGGACCCGAAAAGGTTTATTGGAAACGATATATTCCTCTTGTAGCAGAGATTCGTAGTAGTAATGGATAACGCAAATTATCATAGTGAACGAGTCGAAAAGCTGCCGACATCGTGTTGGGGGAAGGCACTAAGTGGTTACACATGAATGCTATTCTTTTCGAATCAACATGTTAAAAGCAACGCTCCTCAACTTGGCTGAACACATCATAAATCAAAATTTGTCAGGTATGTCACCGATGTGATGGCGAAGACTAAAGGAATGTCGGTTCTTCGGTTACCGCCTTATCACTGTGAATTGAATCTAATAGAGTTGGTTTGGTCTCAAGTTGAAGGAACCATCGCAAGGAATAACAAGACCTTTACACTGTATGAAGTGAAGAAATGCCTATACAGTGCTTTGGAAACAGTCGACCAAGAAACTTGGGGGAAATGTGTCCACAAAACAATCAGAATCAAAGCAGAGGTGAGGGGTTCGGATGATCGCATAGACCCATTATCAGAAAAAAATAATTCCAGTTGTCATCAATCCTAATGAAACTGATTCATCTAGAGAAGAATCACCCAAAGACTTTTTTCAGATTACAAATTACCGCAATACCTTATTCGATGTAAGTACTCCATTGAATCTATAAAATTGTTTCTGAATCAACTATACATTCTAGTGAAAAATATGAATTTTCATTTTCAAACCAACAAGAAATCGTTCAACTAGCTTTCACTTATTTTTGACATGGTTTCTTATTTGGGATTGTTACTCTGCACACACACATATATATTTAAAATGTGTTTTACTATCAACCAGGTATCGTCTCCCTACGAACGATAACTATCAGAAGTCGAAACTTGTGCGGGCAATAGAATAACAGGGTCTTACCTTTTAACGTACGATTCCTCCTCCAATTTTGTAAAGAATTATTTCATTTAATAATCAATTTTCAATTGAGAAACTCAGATTACTTCGTCCTGAAAAAGTCTCTATTCAAAGACGAAAGCTTGGCGATTTGTAAAATAGAGTAGGTTTATTTTTTCAACGTGTCTGACTATATATATGCCGCGCAGAGAGTTGAAATAAAACCATCGGGCACCTGTGCAATGTCTTCATTTTGGAAGATTCATCGCAAGTTATTTCCCACTATATAAAGCAGAAATTAATTTCATTCTGTCGATACGACCAACCGATAGACCCCGAAACCAGGTATGGAGATTGTAACCAAAAAAGACCACGGCAAAACCCGGAAACTAAGCAAAACTTTGAAGCCAGCCATGAAAACCTACATTACTATATCAAATTCACAATATTTAGTAGTTATTTAGGGTTGAGATAATATTTCTACAAATGTTCCATTACAAAAATTGCAAAATGATTCAATAAAATCTGTTTCAGCTGTCGCACCCCTACGAACGACAACCATCAGAAGTCGAAACTTGTGCGAGCTAAGGAATAACGAGGTCTTACCTTTCAACGTGTGATTCCTAACATGAAGTAGATTATCGAGAGCCAACTGGAAATTTATACAAACCAAATAAATTACTAGATGTAGAAACTATTTATAGATGAAGAGTCCGTAAATTCATCCATTTCGTTAGAAATAAAATAAATTCTTTCAATTCATTGAGGTGAATGATGTTCATAAACATGATATACGTCAGGCAGGAAGCTGGTTGGCTAGTGAGATAATTGAGTGGTGTGACGTGTGTCACTCGACTGAAGAGCGTGACACATCACGTGAGACTTTATTGTTCTGGGCGGTGTGTTTGCTGTTGCTGGTATACCTGATCTTACTTCAGTTCACCACAGAAATACAAAAACAAGATACTTTCTTTAATATAAAAGTGAGAATGAGAAATTCGACACACAGTCTACAGGGACTGTACCAATGCTATCCTGCCCTACGTCAGAGAAATTACAGATGACATAGGAAGGAATCTGAAATGACACAACATAGAAAAATATCTTAATATACCAACCGTAGAAAACCAAGGCATATATAAAATCTCATGCGAACATGGCAGCGGGTAATACGTCGGCCTAATAAGTCAGATTAGAGGAACACAAACTTGGAATTTGCGACAAATAAACATCTGCCTTATACAAATGCCATCTTGATACATGTCAATACATCGACGGCACAAGTTGCAAACAGATCGCCAGTATACCAGAAATCCGGAAGGATAGGGGATATCCTTTGGGATATGATGGTGGTGCACTAGTCTCGGACAACCAAGGCACTAGCCTTGGTTTTCCAAAGCTAGTGCACAACCAAGAGTAAACACACCGTCCAGGACAATTCATTTTAATTCAATTCAGTTTGTGTTTCCAAAAAACAATGAATACGTCAATTGAAGACAATAACCAACTATAATAACAGAAATAAGATATTTCACAATACACACAACATATCTTGAAAATAGTGATAATGAGATGCACTAAAATATGAAGTTGTTTTCAGAAAGTACATGTTGGAAAATAATTCAAGTGTAATAGAAAAAAATGCAAACAATGAAATTCCACTAATTAAATTGTTCTCAATTGATATTTGAATTTTGTAATGGAATAATGCTTGTTTATTTTCTCCGGAATTGAGTTATGATCCCATTGTGATATCGTCTTTTTTTCCAAAATTCGTTTGCATTTTAATTTTCGACAGTAATTTGGTTTGTCTCGTGGCATGATTGGTAATATATCCTATTCGAATTAAATCCAAGTTTGATGTCTTTGTATTATTTTCAACAGAGAGATGAAACAGCTTATTTTGAGTACATTGAGTGTATTCAGTCCAATTAATAGTTTCCTTTATATGAATTCAATGTTGGTTCCAAATATGTAATCTATAAATGCTCCTAATTATTTTGTTTCATTGTAGATTTACTTGCTGTTGCCCAAAGGGAAAAAAGATAGTGCAAATGTGAATTAATTAGACTGAAATATAATTGTTTTCAAAATGTTATAGGTATAGAGTTTAAAAAAAATCTACTAAGAGGAGATATTTTGTTTCTATTTTTTTTTAATATGTTCATTCCATGACAATTTCTCATGAATGTATAAACCTAAAATTTTGTACTTTCTATTCATTCAAAAGAAATATGATCAAAGATAATCGAATCATTTGAAGTACCAATGAGTCCCTGGCAAATATTCATATAAGAGCATTTATTGAAATTGAGCCTCAATTTATATTCATTAAGTCAAATGAAAATTCCATCCAAATCATAATTCATATCATTTTTTAAAAATCTTAAACTAACTGTCTTAAAATATAATATCATCAGCAAATAATTGTATAATTGGCTAGAGAAATAATACAGGTAAGGAAAAAACGGGACCGAAGATGGATCCTTGAAGTACAGTAATCAATGCAATGCAATAGAATGCTTCTCGCCAAACAGGCACACTGTCAACCAATCATTATAAAATCAATATTATCCAATATTACTATGATTTTCACTATAATAGGTTCACAAAACCGCGACACATGTTTCGCTATACAATAGCTTCCTCAAGCAGCATGACAGTAAGTTTATAGTTACAGTAACTTTTATAATAATTGTATATGGTTCTTATGGAAATCTTACTCTTTGTCAATATGGTAAAATTAGTTCACACAGCGTGTACGTTTTGTACAAATTTCATTGAAATTTCTAATTATCCTTGTTGAGTGAGAACTGGTCAAAAATGGAATCTGAAACATCATTGTTTTCAAATTGATAGGGGTTCATTTTTAGGAATGATTGATTTCTGGAAAAGGAAGTTTTTGGTATTCTACTTCTCCATCTTGATACAAAAAATGTAGGAATCTTTCAAAGAAGGAAAGGAATCATTTTCAAAAAATTAATTATATACAAAGATATGTAGATCATGCAAAGAAGTAACATTCACATATAAAACTAGAAGAGAAGCCCTCTCGAAACAGCTACTTTCATATAAGCATTGAACTACCCGAAAAAAAAAAACTTTCGAAACAAATACTTTTATACGAATACTGAATTATATAAAAACACTTTACCGTATTTTCAATGGAATTGAATCCGATGATGTCATTCACATTTACTATACAATACAGTAAATAAAATTTCACTTACATGGAACACTGTCATCCTCAATGCTAGACATCCAATGTTTCGCCGTAAGATACTTACTTTAACGGCTCTTCAGTACCAAATCTGGATAACTCAATTCATTCTGTGATGACATGAGTAGATTAAACTTATTCCGTGACGTGAAGTTCCAATTTTATGTATATCGTGTGAGAATCCTTTGAATGATATCTGATTCAATTCCATAACGAATGTTTAGAATACAAACTGAATAGAGAAAAGTATTTTTTTGTAACTTCTTGACATGATCTGAAAATCTTTGTTACTTTTTGAAATTGATTGCTTCCTTCTTTCTTTGGAAGATTCTCACATTTTTTATCAAGATGGAGTATTAAAAAGCCAAAACGTTTCTTTCATAGCATTGCTTTCAAAAACAAAAAGTGACTACAGAATAAGTTGACTTACTGGACAGAAAGAAATAAAAATCATTCTGCCTCAGTTTTCAGTTTGTCTATACACCTATGACTGACATGTGTTGAATTATGTTCAATTTGTATCATTGTCATTGCAGAATTTGAAATATTTTTATGTAATTCAAGTATACATCCTTTCACTCACCAATAAGGCGCTGCCACAATTCATGGACATAACTCTGCAAATTTTTGACAAATGTTCAAGGGCATAGTCGAAAAGAACAATGTCCATTTTCGTTTTGTGTGTTGCATTATATTCCGTGAGACAGCTCTCCGCTAATTCTCGTAAAGTTTGAATATTCAAGACTTCTTCATATCGTTTATCTTCATCAGAATCTTGATCAAAATAAGTTCCGAACATCAAGTTCTTCAAGTTACTCTTCGTGACTACACCTGGAACAGTATTATTCAGTTTTAAATACAACGTTCTTATTCTTCGTCTATGTCAAATGTCATTCGATGTTTGAAAAAGAAGTCATTTTTCTTTTGAATACTTAATTATTTGATTTATAAAAATTGTATGAGGAATTGTAACATCCGGTACAGGCGGTTATCGTATTATCAAAGCAAAAATAAATTGTTTTCAAATATTCAAAAGGGAAAATAATTCTTACGAATATTCCTAAAAATAAATCTACAAGAGGACCATTTTTTTGAGTCGACAGATATGTGAATTTTACGGTAAATTCTGATCTAGATATAAGCCTAAAATGTTTACTTCTTTTTTATATTCTATCAAATTATCATTATAATTGAAATAAAAACGTTGTAATCTGAATTTATTCTGGATATAATTGTAAAGCAAGATTGATCGAAATTTGAATGTAACTCATGAGATCGCAACAAGAAAGATATTAGTTTTGAGTCTTCTGAAATTGAATTATCAATGATATTGGTATTTTGAGAAAAGTGAATGAGGGTTATATGATCAGCAAAAACCAACTGATAGAACCACATAATTCAATTCTGTAATGAAATTAATGTAAATTAGGAATAGAGTCGGACCTAAAACAGAATCTTGTAGAACTCGATACTTGATGGATTTGCTAGGACAATTTTGAAATCATGTGAGTAATATTCTTCTGATGCCAATGAAGTCTAACTTTTGCAGAAAAATATCATGAGTTACTGTGTCAAATGCCTTCCGCCTTGTGGCGCAATGATCAATTGAATATGTTGTTTTGAAGTGACTGTTGGAATACTGGCAGTTATTACATTTTGGCGCACTATTATTGTTGCAGAATTTCAATTTATGTGTTCCACTACAACACGGATAAATGGAATCATTCGTACATTTGCGGTGTTGGAAACGGTAGCTTCTCTTGTAGTGTGTTATACTTTTATTTTCCATAAATTTTCAAACATTGCCAACCAATTACCATGAAGACCATGGATATTCGTCATCAAAGGTTGGAGTTTTGATAAAACTACTGCTATAAGAGAGATGTCGTTTCCGATTTGCATTTCTCCACAGCAATCCCCTTCGGTTCCGGTAATTCTTTTCAAAGTTCACCAAAAACCGCTTCAAATTTTTTGTGGACTCCTTCTTGTTTCCTTCCGAATCCTTCAAACTCCTCTTTGAATTTCCTTTAAACCCCCTTAAGCTTCTTATCGACCACTTTTTCCAGTCCCTCCTTTGTTTCCTGAAATATTTTTCCGAATTCTTCCTGAATATATCCCTGTACCTTCCCTTCACTCACTTGGGAAGATTTTGAATCTTCCGATAAATCAAGGTACATCTGATTGTCGTTTTCCTGCCTTTCCTATTTTTCCAGAATATTTACCAGCAAATCTCTGTCTTCTTCCTGTTTTCCTTGAATATTCACCAGCAATTCTTTATATTTCTCCTGTGTTTCTTGAATATTCATCAGCAAGACTCTATCTTTTTCCTGAATACCCAGTAGTAATTCACGATCTTCATTTCTGCGTAATCTTTCTTCCTCCCTCAATCGTTCATCTACTTCATTTCGTCGTTTTCGTCGCCAGGCCCGCTTGCGAAGCCTCGGACATTTTGTCAAGTTTTTTTCATCTCGTCGTAATCGACACTTCTTGTTTTCAACATAAAACAAAAAATTTTCAGTCAATTATTCCACTTACCGACACCAAGTGTTACGTTCTTCCCCGTGGGTTGACCAATAATTGACTACACTGAACAGTAATGAAACTTGACTCTATTTCACTTCAAATACAACAAACACTTCAACTAAAATTTCAACTATCGATGGTCGAGTGGATGGCGCTTATATTTGGCAATTGAAGGCGCTGGTAAATTCCTCGGAATTCCATCGAAGCCGGTAGCATTATTCTCGCAACATCTAGTATGGCAGCGAACATCAAGCATTCGCGCGCTCTTAGCTACGTTACAATTGGTTTATGGCTACCATTGGCGGCCGGCGTTTTTTTTTTAGGGCATAATTTACATGTTACTGATGAAAAGTATGCTTCAAAAATTTCAATAAAATTAAGTCAAAGCATTTGACTACGTTCAGAAAAAAATAATCAGAATATGAAAAATACACAAAATATAGGTCTTGGAAAGAAAAATGAACCGCAGTGATAGTCCGACAATTGGTTGATGTAGAATTGGATAAGAAAGAGCAAAAATAATAGAAAGTCTTTGGAAGAGAAAACTATCATGGGAGAATCTGTCAAAAAACAGATAGTATTTCTGAATATTAGGCAATACATAGCATTTATGTACTAGGCAATACAAGAATGTATGGCAATACATAGCAATAGAAATAATGACCGCAGTGTCCTGCGGCCTTCCTGATTCCTTCAACTGTGTCAGTCCAAACACATATGTTGCGGTTTTGTGAAAATCTTTTGATGAAGTGTTACCAATATACATTGATACTTTTTGTTGGTCACCATTGAAATTCATGATATATTCCTGTTTTTCAAAACCAAATGTGTAACTCACCTGCATCATTTCTCGGCAAATTATCCAACGCTTGCTCAAAATTCTCTCTAAAGTAGTCCCGAACCAATATCCTCAGTCTATCATAAACCCAATCTTGGTCCTTCTCTTCTACTAGCCTGTCGTAAAAAACTCTCAACACCTCGTGCACCCAAATTCTTGAAAATATCTTCTTATTTTCGGCAGACTCTTTCTTCAGCATAGCACATCCCTGTATGAGCCTGGAGAAGTCTCGCAGATTGAAAACGTAGTGACTTTTTGACGGCGTTGGGCGCAGATTTTCCATGGCCGCCTTGTACATTTCCAGACTTGCATTCACTGTCTGGTTCACGACCATCACTATTTCTGAAGGGAATCCGTTGTTTTTCCAGCCAAGTAGTAAGATGTTGGTGAATATTTTTGCCATGCTCTCTTCTGAGAACTCGTTAATGGAGAAAATGCTGAAGTGCCTTAAGAAGCGTGGGTAGATTTCTTGTCTGCTACCGCCAACTAACCCCATCGCTCCCAAGAATAGGACATCGTGTAAATAAATGGCTGCGGTCGTTTTCAAGTCATACCTGGAAGAATTGAATAGTATGAATAATCAACAAGTTGAATGCAATGTTAAGAACAAAAAATCTGGCATATCACAGAGCCATTGTTCACTTTTTTTTGGTTGGTTTCCGGATTTTGCCGTGGTTTTCTTTGGTTATAATCTCCAAACGTGTCAACTGCAACAGTCATCTTCAGTGGCGTGGCGACTGAAACAGTCGAGACGTCAAGAAGAGTACTTCAACGATGTAAGTACTTTTTTTCAGTTGCATCATTTGCAATAGATAGGAGATTTTTATGAAGAGAAATCAGTAGTGAACTCATGTTTCCAGAAGGGAAGATTATTTGGGAATGCTGTGTTCCAAATATGACACGACTGCCAACGAAAAAATGTTTCATTTCCTCTATTGAAAATTGTCTTGAATTAAAATCTACGCAAATATTGCACATATATTTTTTGTTTCGAAATTCTTCACGAATTTAATTTTGAAATGATCATCATCTGTGATGATATAATTTCGTTTTTTNAAAATCTACTCAAATATTGCATATATATTTTTTGTTTCGAAATTCTTCACGAATTTAATTTTGAAATGATCATCATCTGTGATGATATAATTTGGTTTTCTTGATTTTGTAATCCAAACCTTCTTTTGTAAACGGCTTCTCAAATTGCATTCCATCTATTATGAATTTTGGTTTTCCCAATAGTTTTTCTTCTATTGCATAAGCATTTCCCATCTGTTTCAATATTTCATCATTCAATCTGGAAATCTTTCTCACTATGACATTTACTTCTAAGATGCCCAATTTTCAAACCATGGATTTCAAAAATGTTCATTCTGAGTACTGCTGGATTGAGTTTTTATTCCAAATCGCGAATCGTTTCAGTTATGTGTTTACATTTAGTTTTAGTGAAATATCACTTCGTGTGGCATTAACTAAAGCATAATTTTGTCCCATACTAGACTTCGAAGCATCTGAATAACTGATTATCAGGGACTATATTTGGTTTATCAGATCAGATATGTCATTCAATACCACACTGAAATTACTTCATGTCCGTCAACGCGAGTTTTGCTAACCAAGTTGGTATCACCAAGAAGTGACTGAAACAGTTATAAACATCTCCAAATAATGCTAACTTGGTTGCATCCTTGGAAATATACTTCAAACATTTCACGATAAAACAGATAATAAAAAATTTTCAAATTAGTTCACCAAATCTGATCAATACCGTAGATCGCTGGGTTGAGTGGTGTGATGACTGCTACCTAGGACCTTTCGAATCATTTTTTAGTTTCAAGTTCATTATCTAGATCATTATTCTCTTTTTTTCTTCAAAAAAACTTTCAACATACATTTTTTTTACCTATTTCATTTTCAAGTTTTCTCAATTCTTTTGATTCTGTTTAGTTCATTCAGTGCCTCAGTACAACAAGGTAATATGTAATCCGCCATTTTGAAGCTGCGGCCATCTTGAAGCTGCATTTTTTTGTACTATACTACTATTCTACTAGTCAAGTATTGTAATTTGATACTCATATTGAGGTAGTTGTAAAAAAATATGTAATCCGCCATTTTGTAACTGCGGCCATCTTGAATTAGAATCTTTTTCAAAGTATATTACTATTCTTCTAGACGAGCCCTGTCATTTGATACCTAAATAGAGGTAGTTGTGAAACAATATGCAAACTGCCATTTTATTGCTACTTCCATCTTGGATTCACAATGATACTGAATTTATCAAATTGTATTGTCATCAAAACTAAAAGTGTGTACCAAATATAATGATGGAAATAATAATAATTCCACTAAGGAGTCCTTGGTGGAATGATGCCCTCTCTACCCTCGAATCTTAAAATCATACCGGCTTGCCGCACTAAGGCAGAAATCTTAGCCGGACAGATGCAGATGTCATTCTTGGCTCACTGTGCTTGCTCAGGGCACATGATTCTCGGACCACACTTACCCCACAGTGTGTGGAGTGGTCGTTAATTGACTTTTGGTGAGTTGCGCCACCACTTACCCGCCGAGCAACTGGTGCAAAACCGGTCCGGCAGCCCAGGCGCACCCGGGAAGAAGAACACTATTCTCCCTCCGGTGCCGGCCGTGGGTTCACTAGGCTAACCACCCGGTGGACCCAACACTTAGTTCCTAGCAATCGAGGATGGGGTCTCTACAATCGACTCGCTCGGAGGAGTCAGAGACAAGGTGGTGGGACCCATAACGATGATTTGCCTACCGATGACAACCTTGGCAATGACAACGGGCACTTTGAGTGAACGCACGAGCTAAGAGATAGCCTTCTGCATTGCTACGAGAGTAGGAATTCCGCGCGAAGAGGTTTCATGACATGATTGCATGCTCTGTGTTGTGAAACATATTAAGACCATGCCGCCTATTCTGCCCAAAATCTTAGGGATCACGTATCCTATCTCCGGCGGCAGGGCTGCTAACAAAATGGTAGAAGTGATAGTTCTACCACCCGTTGGCACGGCTGGAGAGGAGACTCGCATTATGCCACCAATAGAGTCAATCATAACACGAAGGGCGCTCCACAGAATCAGGCCCCTGAACCCACAAGAACTGGCGTGTTTGCATGTGGAGGTTCATAGTGTTCTAACAGAAGAGGCTGACATCTGGCAAATCAACACCGCCGTGTATAGCGTCGTCCAATCGCTTTCCGAATTGGAAGGCCTTGCGATTTGGGAGATTGAACGACATGTACACAAGATGGAGGCTAAGATCGCGTCGGCGAGACAACACGCGTCTCAGTATCCAATGTGTGATGGAGAACAGGGCGGCCAATAGGCCTTTCACGCCCGCAGTGCGGCGAATAGCCGCCAATCTACGATGTATCCATCACACTTTTAGTCAAGGCGTGCTGCTGACCACCAAACAGCACTGCCTTGATACGATACGAATGCTAGTGGCTGCTAAGAAATCACTAGTGAGGCAAGCGAGAAGTATCGCGGAAAACTTTAGGTTCCGCGAGAAACCTTTTCGCTTATTCCATGAGCCTCCACGTGTTGTGGATGATCCGCCGACCGCTGATCAGGTGGAATCCTTCTGGAAGGATATCTATGAACACGCGCAGCCACTCAACTTACACTCCAGCCAAAGCGCAGTTCGAAGCTTTCAACAGAGAGGTTTGACAGCCTGAATTCAAAGAACTGCGTAACCCGATAACCCCGGATGACGTTCGAAGAGCCCTTGTGGGTTCCAAGAACTTTGCTGCTCCAGGCCCAGAAGGGCTGAACACTTATTGGTGGAAAAAACTAACAAGCACCCACCGCCATCTGGCCAGAGTTTTCAACTCACGGAGAGCAGCCGATTCCGGATTGGCGGACCGTTCTCATCCCCAAAAGCGGGGATTTGTCGATTCCTGAGAATTATAGACCGATAACTTGATGGAATTAGTGTTATAAGTTGTTTACAAGCATATTATACACACGCATACTCACCGCAGTTGACCAAGTGTTCGAACGGATATATGAGCAGAGAGGGTCGAAGGGAGAAGTCGCTGGATGTAAAGAGAACCTGCCCATCGATAGATGTGTAACGCAGGATTCGATACAATATAAGCGTAACCTCTCTATGGCCTGGATCGATTACCGTTAGGCATATCATACAATATCACATGAGCTCATCTTGCATTTGCTAGATGCCCTGCGGTACCCGACAAAATAGTGAGAAGCATTGAACAACTCATACCACTTTGGCGAACTCGCTTCACCATAACATCTGGTCAAGCACGAATCCAAACAGGGTGGGTTACTTTCAGAAGGGGTGTATTTCAGGGTGATTCTCTCAGTCCCCTTCTCTTCTACATCTCACTATTGCCATTATCCGTTGCGCTTAGAAATACTCGAGGGTATAACTGTGGCACCCCCGAAAACCGGAGACCCAAGGTCACCCATTTGTTTCATATGGATGATCTTAAACTTTATGCCTCTGGAGAGAAGGATTTCCATCAGTCCTTGAGGGTGGTAGAAGAGTACACGCATGCTTTTGGTATGAAATTCGGGATAGACAAATATGCAATGGTCCATTTTAAAAAAAGGGCGATGCGACATCTCCACTCGCAAGAGGTAATAGCAGAGATGAACTATCTCCGCGGCAAGTATCAGCACAGACTTCGACAGATCTGGTCATCGGAACTGTCGGGGAAAAACACAGTTGGTGCAACAAATATGCTTGCCGTTTCAATCTTAATCCACTCATATGGAGGAGGCTGCATCCCAAATCGTCCGTTCCACGGTTGTACTTCCCCCGACAACAGGGAGAGTGTGGACTTTTGAGTGTCTACATGACACAATAGTACTGGATACAGCCTGTAATGTCGTCAGGAGTTCGTATCCCCTTCTCTGCAAGGCCTATGACCATGAGAGAGCAGGAATTGGAGTATTTCTCTTTATGACAGCTGCCCGAGCAGCTGATGAACTTGGTATAGTTTTCGACACTGAGCGAGGTGACCACAACTCTGTCACCGAGTTGGAACCCGTTCAGTAAAAAGCTCATATAAAAACCGCAGAGATAACCTCACTCCTGCGGAAACACAAGGATAAGCCAATGCACGGGGTCTTCTTCAATAACATTTTAGACCTTGGCTTATCAAAGCGCCTAACGTTCCTTTTTCTCAGATCGAGTGGGCTGAAGTCTGAAACTGAGGGTTCCATCGTGGCTTGCCAGAATGGTGTCTTCAATACCTCAGTCTACCGCAGTCGCGTGGTGGGTATAGAGGTTAATGACACAAGGTGCAGGGCCTGACACAAGGTGCAGGGCCTGCCGCGAGGCGCCCGAGACCCTAATGCACTTGCTATTAGCATTATGCGGTCTCGGCCTATATCCATCGACATAACGCAGCTCTTAGAGTGCTATATTACCATCTATCGCACTCTCACGGTATTGACGAGACACCGGTGTTGCCCTACGCTCCGGGGGATATTGAATCCGTTGTGGGGAACGAGAAGTGCCGAATTTATTGGAACTATTCCTTCCCCACCCTCAGGCTCATACAAGCTAATAAGCCTGATGTAGTCCTTCTCGACCACCAGTGCAAGACGATATTTGTCGTGTAGTTTTCAGCTCCTAAGGAGACGAATATCGTCCGAAAAGAAGAAGAGAAACGGATAAAATATCGAGATTTTCTCTTCGAACTCCGCAGACTCTATTCGGACCACTCTGTCAAGATGGTTGTTCTGATTATTGGAATCCTTGGTTGAATGATGCCCTCTCTACTCTCTAATCTTAAAATCATACCGGCCTGGCGCACTAAGGCGGAAATCTCAGCCGGACAGATGCAGAAGGCTGTCATTCTTGGCTCACCGCGCTTGCTCAGGGCACATGATTCTCGGACCCAATGATCGTTTACCCTACGATGTGGGAAATTGTCGTTGGTTGATAATGCTGGCGCACCCTCCCAAATGTATCGGGGCTTCGGGTGATAGGGCCTGACCAGCGCATACTTTGGTAAAAGAAAATAGTAATAATAATTCGTCTTTATTATCTCCAAAAGTGAGTTAATAACAGTTTTATAATAAAAATTGTATTACATGTAAATGAAAGGCGCGCGAAGTTCAGTTTATTTCCATCTAAGGGCAATAAAATTAAATGTTCTTGCACCCAACCTCAAAATACCTCTTCGTTAAGTTAACTTAAGAATGAGGACAACTATTGATTAAGCTTGGGTAATCTATATTACCATCCCAGTCATAAAATCTATCGAAGGAGAATAATATTTTTATGCAGTCTTTGATAATTTGAGATTGTATTGCAATCAACATTTGCATTAACTCACCGAGTGCTGTTGTTTGAATGATAATTTTCGCACTCAGTACATCAAAGAGAAATATACAAACAATTTCTCAGATTCTAAGAACAATTCATGGCATAGAGTTTGATATGGTTTGATAATTTACATTGTTCACATGGTGTTCATTTAATTTAATACTACACAAATAGTTATTTTCATCATTAATAAACTAGAGGCATTTCATATTATATAGTGATAAGAAATTTGTAAATATCTCTGTCAAATGTTGCGCATATACTGGGATTATTACCAGACATCGAAGTTTGATAATGATACATAAAATATATTTTAACGGAGTAGTAAATGAATTTCTTGCGAATTTTATGTAATTGAGGAAAATTGTGAAATATGGTTGGTTTGCACTATCTATACATGAATGTGTAGAGTTACTTCCTTCCTTTCTTTGGAAGACTTCCTCATCCTTCTCTTTTTGTATCAAGATGGAGTAGTAGAAAGCCAAAAATATAACCCCTTCAATTCAAATAAGATTCCTCTTGTCATTACGATGGCATCGATGACATAAGCAGATCAAGCTTATTCCGTGACATTAACAAATCATAATTCATGAATGAAGTGTGTGTATTTTCTATAATGTTATCCAATTTGGTACTGAAGAGCCTTAGGGCAAGTGTCTTAAGGCAAAACATCAATGTATACCAGAGGATGGCAGTGTTCTATGTAAGTGCAATTTGTTACCATTCATTCAAAGTAGAACTCATGTGAATGATATCTGAATTTTATTCCACAACGAATGTTTGAAATACAAACTGATTAGAGAAAAGTATCTTCTGTATAATTCAGTGTTCATATAGAAGTATTTGTTTCGAAAGTTAGGTAACAAAAGATTTTGTGGAGTGGTCATCATCGTTTTTCTTCAAACTCAATTTTATTATGTTTCATATTGAAATATAATTCAATTCCGGCGTATTAATTAGTTCAAAATATTTATTCGATGATGATAAGAATAAATATAAATTTTATTAAAGATCCTTTCGATTGCAAAATTTTTCAACAGGCCTTATTTATTTTCATAACAGAGGTAATGAAATCAATATCATTATCATTCTTCCAGTTGACCAACATAACATATACTTTAGATTTCACAAAGAAAAATCTAGGGATTTGACAAAATTAGTGTAAAAGCTGTAATAATGGTTGAATCAGAATTAGATGCATTGATGAGTAATCTTAATGATTTGTCAATCAAGCTGAACTACTTTCACAAAACTACTTTCGCAAAATTATTTTTTGCGAAAGTTATACCGATCTTTAAAAGTGGTAAAAAGTACTGTGGAAAACCAGAGCCTGAACATAACGTATTTTTGATTCAACACCAGACGCTATTTCGACCCACCGTAGGTCTCATCAATGGTGCTAGACTGAATCGCAAATGCATTGCTAGACTCAACTGTCCTCGAAGAATGATCCTGAGTAAACAAGGGCGATGACATCCCCCCTCATAAATATATCATCTATAGAATTGACAGATAACTCAATCTTCGAATATCAAAGATAAACGAGGCTCTCCAAGGCGATCAGTTGCAAATCCAAGCTTCAACATCGACCACCGACGATATTCGTCCTATGTCTTTTATCGCAGCTTTCCCTACAAGGCAACTAGTTGGAAAGATGTCGTCAAACTGACTTAATCAGGCCTAGCAGCACGAATGAGACCTGTGTTGGATCAAAAGAGCGCTGTCTGGTATTGAATTATAAATGCGAAGTGTTTGGGCTCTAGTTTCTATCTAAAAGCATATACCTCAAAACCAAAAGCATATATGTTAAAACATAACATTATCTCTAATACCACGTTTGTTCTTCAGTATTCATAAATATTTTTTGTGTCAAAGGTACTGTAGTCATCGAACTTTAAAGTCTGTTTCACTAACTCCGTATATGTATCGTACGTTAAAAAAAGGCACGAGCAAAAGTAACACAGTGACTTTCAATAATAAAGATTCCCCATCACGCTGGTTATAAACATTTCAGACACCCAGTATATTACCAATTCTTGTGATCAAAATACTGTCTCAGAAGCTCAATTGGAGGCTGCGCTCCATACTGTTCCTTCAGTGGCATGTTCACGTCGTCTATGAACAAAATAGTAGTTTTTCCTTTAGGGGGCCCATAATGATTCCGTTTCCTCTTATTCAACTTCGAAATGACAAGATCTTGAGTCTGGTTTGCTGAGATTTGAACAGTGAAAGTGATGAAAGCTGGCTCGTATTTCTCTTGATCCAGTTGATTCATCAATAAGTCTTGGATGTAGAAACTTTTCCCTGTTCCGGTAGGTCCCATCAGAAGTATAGGTTTATTGTATCGGATATGCATGTCTACTAAAGCCATATATCTGAAATGTACGTTTATTTTGATGACTGATTTTTGATAATGTCTAGTTTTCAATGAAATATTTCAACATAACTATTATTTTTGAGACTGGCCTGAACGAATTGTTTCTTTAGATGATTTGATTTATACCAGGCTTGAAGTATGCCCAATGACTGTATGTGAAAAGTTTTCTTTCCTTATACGAGGAATTGGTCAAATTTCGGATATGCGGTTGATTACCTCGTTCACAGGCAAATAAAGAGATGACGAACCTGTTATTTGTTGTCCGTTTCAGCCTAGTTCAAAGAATGATATTCTGAAGAATTTTTTTTTTTCAGGCAAAAATATATTGAATTGTTGCAGTGAACTGGAAATGTATCCTTTCTACACTTGCAAAAAGTTATACATACTAATTTTTTCAATTTTGTGGAAAGTTAAAAGTCCTAAAAATGATAATGAAAGCATTTCATACTGTAGTATATTTCTTCAAGCAACGAAGTAATGAATCATTCCCAAGTGGCTGTTGTGAAAGAAGTATTCATTTTGAACATTTAATGTTCCCTATAATTCCAATGAATATTTGGCAGTGGTTGGAAAAATAACTGCTTATTTAAGTTATGGTAACAAAACTTATCTTTATTGTTGAAGGTAACATAGAGTCTTCGTTAAGCTGCAAAGCTGCAATGTAACTACAAATTTTGAAATTTGTGAGGTGCCTGAACAATTCTTTGAAGTATTTTGAAGATAAGCTCACCAGGGTATTCAGTGGAACTATTGGAAAACTGAAAAATCATCAATTTCACACTCATTCAGATCAATCTGTTTATCCTATAGTCCAAGAACATAGCAGAATACCATTTCGTCCGAGGAATAAAGTAAACAAGCTAACGAAACTTCAGGAAAGTGATATTTTCGAATCAGTAAAAGGACCAAATCCTTGGGCTTCACCTATCGTTATAGTTTGAAAAGCAAATCGAAATAC